TTAAAGCCAGAGTTTTACCAGAAGTCAGCTTGAGTAAAACCTTGCCTTTGCCTAGCACTTCAGAGCTGCTAGAGTTCCCCATGTACACACGTTCACCAGTGTTTCCATCCTCGAACTCAGTGAAAACTCCTTCCTTGCGCAGAAATGCTTCGAAGCGCCAGTGTCAACTACCCATTCTGAACTGTTCTCCACCAGATTAACTTCTGAGACCACCGCAGCAATGATCTCATCATCTTCTTCTACAACGTGCATCTGTGGCTTGTTGTCATTCTGGCGGTCTGAGCGGTGTTGGCATTGGTAAGCCTTGTGGCCAGGTAAACCGCAGACATAACACTTGAACGTCTTTCCTTCCGGTTTGGCCTTTCCTGACTTCTTGAAGTTGGTAGCCTTCTGTGGTTTCGTCTTTTTGTCTTGATTCCCACGTTTCATGATCTTCTTAAATTTGGACTCAACCAAGTTAGCTCTAAAAGATAAATTACTCATAGAATTAGTAAGCTTATCTTTTAAACGGTTGGCTTCTTCAATCTTCATATGGCCCACAAGTTCTTCAAGCGAAATGTCTCTCTTCTTATGCTTAAGAGAGTTACGGTAATCGGACCAGGACTTGGGCAGTTTCTCAATGAGTACATTGGCTTGCAGCACCTCACACATTTGCATCCCTTCAGCGATGATGTCAGCGACTAAGTTCTCATAGTCATGGACTTGATCCATTATTGGCTTGTCGTCTGTCATCTGGAATTTGAGCCATTCGCCGACAACGTACTTCTTGATCCCCGCATCATCCGCACCATACTTCTTGTCGAGAGTGTCCCATATTGCCTTGGCACTCTTTTCTCTAAGGAACATATCAAATAGTTTATTTGACATGTGGCTGAGCAGATGTCCTCGTACCGTCTTGTTATCCTTCTCGAATTTCTCGTAAGTAGCGAGAGCGGCGGCGGCAGTTGCTAAGGCATCATCATTGAGGACCGCATCAGCATCATTACCAACAGCTGGGGTTGGCGGCATGGTAGGTGGTGGCTTGAGCAACACGTAATCAAGATCAAGTTGCTCGAAGAATATAAGAATTCTTTGGGACCACCTTCTATAGTTCTTTCCATCAAGTGCATCGAGCTTGGAAAGATCGGGAATGAGTTTGCTCAAAGGTGTCGACATGATTGCAGTTTATGGGAATTCGTTTCTAAATTGTTGGATATATGAACTGCAAAACTACACCGTTAGCATTGACTGAAAATATAAACAGTAATTAAGAAGAACAGATTCGTAAACCGTGTCGTGGTAAGAACCACTGCCTTAGAAACGAATTCGCCTCGATGTGTGTAATCGCTGCAGTAGGCGGACCGTCCCCCGAGGTTAACACGGTCGCTCCGAATTCCGTACACCCGAAACCGGAGTGGACTGCTGGTGGTATTGCACTTCTGATCGGAAAGCACTCAGAGAGAACTCACAGAGAGAACTTTAGAAAACACTTTGGTAAGTGAATTGTGAATGTTTTGGAGTGAGTTGAGAAGCTGAATATAGCTCTCTATTTATAGGCTAGAAATAGGGTTAAAGTCGTCCATAAAATTTCAGGATTAAACCTCTTATTTGTAACAGCTGAAACGACTAGATGAACCTGACTCAGAAATAGTCCAGGTTCATTGTATCATTATTCAGCTGTTATAACTCCCGAAATTATATCATGTAACCCCTGGAATTAAATCAAATAACTCCTGTAACTCCTGATATTAACAGCTTGTCTCCTCTGTACAAAGCTGTAAATCAGTTTAGGAATAAACTGTTTAATTTCTGATAAAAAATAATTCAGCTGTTATTATTTGAAATTCAAACAGTCCTCAGCAGCCCATAAATATCAGTTGATATCTTTCACATTTTCCATTTGTTTCTTTCAAAGAGAAATTCCTCAAGAATTTTCTCTAAAAAGATAGTATCCGCGCGGACGTGTCGAAGACACGTATTACCACGACCACGACCACGACCACGACCACGACCACGACCACGACCACGACCACGACCACGACCACGACCACGACCACGACCTCGACCACGACCACGACCACGAGCCGAGCCGAGCCGAGCCGAGCCGAGCCGAGCCGAGCCGTGCCGTGCCGTGCCGAGCCGAGACGAGACGGACGGACGGCGGCGGCGGTGCGCGAGAGCCCCCCTTGTTCTCTATCACTCAACAAGGAAGTGGAATGTCAAGCCTTAAATACCATTCCCAATAGTGTTTCCAACACTATGTGGGATTGAGCATTACCAACATATTGTTCATGTAAACAAGATGGAAGAGCAGTCGTTGTTTGCAAATGTAGCATCATCAAGATTCACATGCAACGTGGCACACACATTTATATGTATACGTCTATGTATATAGTTTTGGCCTGAGAATCTTGATGATGCTGCATTGGCAATTAATGGCTATGGAAGAACACCGGCACAGTTCATTTCCATTGATCCATACTCCAAGAAACTAGGACAAGAGGGTATAAAATGCTTGTGAATCTCTTGCTTCTTTTTGCCTGTTAATTAAAGATTTATGTTGTTTTCAGCTGAATGTGGTTTTCAATGGCAGATGGATGTGCAAAGACAGCAAGCTTATCAGGAAGATCAGATTCGTTTCACCTGCAAATTTCAGTTGGTGGTCCTTTTCTCTTCAGTTGTCAATCATGTTGTTCCCTGTTTTATAATTCTTTTGTTAATTGGTTGTTCCAAGTGAGTGATCAGATGGTTTTGTTTTAACCACATCCAAATCCCAACACTTATTCATAATTTGCTTGTTTAATTTTTAGCACAAATACATCCTCTTTGCACAAATGTGATTATAGTTTGTGACACCTTAATTTGATTCGATCCGTAGATCAAAGAAATAAAGCATTACACGGAATCATCAAAAGAGATAAACTCAAATTTTCTTTTTAAATCACATCGTACTAATCATTGAGATGTCATCTTTTGAAATCATACATAAAAATATAAATATTTAAGTTCACAAAAGTCGGGAGCTCCTAATACATCTCAAAATGACACGTATAAAGTATTTCAAAAATAGAGTTACGACTTAAATACATGAAGGTCTATGAATAGTATAAGACTTCTAAATAGACTAAAGACATACTCTACTGCTCTGAATGATTTGGAATGCATGTTGTGCGATAAGCTTCTTGACGATCCTCCTAAGAACCTACGTACGGAAACAAATTCCGAACGTTGAGCTCACAAGCTTAGTGCCATACTGATAACCATACTATACTATATTACATGAGTTCATCATATGGCCAGGCTAGCAAGTAAGGACAAAAACATACAAGTACGCTAAACACAAATGCTTATGTAAGCATCATGGTGTGGTCGGAGGGTTCGCTGCATCTCGAGACTCACACCCCTCTATCCTACCTATAGTACCCTCGGGTACCTAGGGTGAGATGCATCAAAAACGTATATTCGACCAACCTACTACTTTGAGTACTTTGGGCATTTGTGCCCAGCCAACAACTGAAGTGTCGTGGCAATAACTGAGATATATCTGAATATTCTAAACAAACAAGACAATCGTCATACTTGCTAGAGTAACTTGGGTGTCCTCATTATTTCCGAACGTCACTTAGTTTTATGACAGCTTACTTCATAAGCTTTCTTATGCTTTTTTTATAATTATTAATTGTTCTCACTTGTAAGTTTATTAAAGAAGTATTGACAGTCCTAAACCCTTTCCCGAACCCTTCTCTCAAGGTTAGACTTTTTGTCCAAAACTATATATATGATGATACCGATACTAAAGCCTCATAAGATCAATACTGACATGACAATATTGATATTCTCCCTTGGTAATGATATCAAAATTACATTTGATATTCTAAAATTAACTTATAGTATCGATACTCTTAGGTGGAGTATCAATACCCCATCCTTGGATATCGATGCCCTATGGACAGGATACCAATACTACCCATCTAAAACCCCTTATTTTAACTATCTAAAGAACAATATCAGTACTGTTCATCCAGTACAGATATTCAAGCCCATAAATGTTGTATTTTCTCACAAAAATGACATCTCATTTTACCCATTTGCCTATTTAAGGCCCTTAAACATTTTTTAAGTCTTATATAAGTCATTTTTCATGTTGAATAATATCAAATGTCATGATTTACCATGGATGCACTTACATGCTTAATGAACTCATACATCTAATGACTCACATGTGGTATAGAAGAGTTAGAAATGTATTAACTTAGTCCTAAGCTGCTAGAAACAACCATAACTCAACCAAGCACAAACTTCTCCTTGACTTTGTTCTCGGAACTTTCTCCAACCTCTTTCACTAATCAAAAGATAAGAAAACGAGTTGGCAACTCACTTATGAACTTAGAAACGAATTAAAAACACTTCCGAAGATTTAAATCCACTAAAAATGAGATGGTTTAATAAGGATTTCTAAACCCTTACTTATGGCCACCACGATCAACCCTTGATTTTGTGGGCTTAAAAGGAAGCTCTAATGATGTTGATTGAGGATCTTACCTTCACTGATTCGAACTAGTGATGTTGAAGGATAAAACTAACACCTTTGAGGAAGTTAAAAAAGAGAAGGAACGTGTTTGAGAGGAAGAAGACGAGCTTTTGGGAAATGAGGGAGTGAAACAAGCTGCACAGTTACATCACCATTCTTAATGGTTTTTAGCTTTTCTAAAACTAAATGACATAATTATTTAATTAGTCCCTTAAACTCTGGTCTCAAATCAAAAATATTCTTTTCATCTCAAATTGGACTCGAACCAAATCCAATCCATCTCAAACTTAGACCAAAGTTTTCTACGAGGCTCATGGGTTTATGCAAACATTCTCGGGTTAACTCGAAATTTCTAATCTGAGATCCGAGACGTTACATCGTATAACATCGAAATTGGGTTCAAGTATTGTTAGGTGCATTCCTCTTTAATTGGTGATTAGAGAAATGTACCATATATTCGGTGGATGTAAACTCACATTCATGTATGACATTATATGCTATTAAGTAAAAGTTGTTGTTTTTTCCCAGATACATTCATATATGAACTGGTAAATCTTAGACGACAATTATCCAAAAAAATTCTATCTGGTGCCAAATTCTTGATAGTTTCAGTTAGGACAACACTTCGGAGATAAAAATCTTCATATGCATCAAGGCCTTGTTTGACTAGGCATTGCTTGAGCTTGTATAACGCCCGGCTCTCTAGCTGCCGCACCCTTTCCTTGGATAATCCGAACATATTTCCCATCTCCGAAAGAGAATTCTGTTTACTTTCTTCGATACCAAATCTTAGCCTGATTATCTTCCTTTCTTTCGGGCTCAGAATGCTTAGAAGGTTGCGCATGTGCTGCCGCATCAGTTGCTTTGCGACACTAACATCTGGGATCTCGATACCAGTATCTGCTGTTACCTCCTGCAATATTGACAAGAACAAAGATCTCCATGAGGAGATGCCTATGGTTAAACCCAAAAAACACCCTCTTGCATGAAAATATGAATGTATTTTGGCCTTTAAGATTTTTTATCAAGAAATTAGATGCTGCAACAGGGTAATCGAGCTAAAAAAGAGACCGATACCTGAAAGGTGGTATCCTGGTCAGCCCATACAGGCTGCTGCATACAAAGTGGCATCCGTGTTGAGAACAGCAACCTATCCAACTTCTGAACGGTAATTCCGACACGTCTTGCGAGTTTTTCTTTGGAAGGATGATGATTTCCTTCTTGAATGTATGATCTCTTTGCCTCCAGTACTTTACTCAAAAGTCCATATACGTTCTCCTGAAAACAAAAAATGGATCCATTGCTGGTATAATGTATCACAAATATATAAAAAATTGAGTGTCTAACTAAAACATACAATAAACTTATATGATCTCCCGAAACTCGAAGAGAGATTGTCTTATCCCATTTCATCCTGTTAGAAAAGAACAAGATAGCGATGGAGCAAAACCTATATATTTTTAAATATAATGCATGGTTCCATGTCTAGGTGGCTGTGGCATTCATCCAGCAACCATAAATTTGAATTACCGGAAAACGGATGGTTCTGGAATGTTGCATTATAGACTTTGTAATCGATTGCCTTATCCACCAGTAGGCATACGTGGCAAATCGGCATCCAACTTGTGGTTTGAACTTCTCAACACTTTTCATAAGACCCATACTTCCCTCCTGCAGCAAGTCCTGAAGGCTAAGACCACGGCTCTGATATTGTTTAGCAATGTGAACAACCATGCGCAAATTCGCATGGATCAATTTTTCCCGGCTTCTTTTTCCAGATCGAAGTTCTGCCTGCAACGCTGAACAACTTAGACTCGTGGCTTCAGCCCATTCAACCAAGGTTGGTTCACGCCCAAACTGAGATTGAAGCTTACTTTTTACTTTCACTAGTCTCTTCAAATTCTGAAGGTGTTAAACAAACCAAAAGTAAGACCTTTCCCAAACCAAACATATCCAATTTCCAAGCTTTAAAACGAAAAGGCAGGATTGAGAAAAGGCACCTGAACTTGAACGATCAATTCAGACTCTTCTTCTGCTGTCAAGAGTTGTTTTGTCTCAGGACCCCACAAAAACATTCAAAGGGGATCATTGGGATCAGAACTTTCACTCAACTTTCTTCTTACATCCTTCCTTCGTGAACTGTAAGTCTCATAAATGGAAACTTTAGCTTGCACCCTCCTTCGTTTAGATTGCCTCTCTAAACGTTTGGTTGACCTAACCGTAACTATATCCTCCTCAACTGACAAAGTAGACAAATTAGCAGACCTCAAACTGCAGCAATAGCATTAGGTATCAGTATTCAGTACTCAACAGATTACCAGAGAACACTTATCCAACTGGTAAGACAAGATAGAGATTAACCTATTAGGAGGTGAATCATCGAGATCTAATTTGTGGTCCTCAGCCAATGACGCAGCTAGTTTAGAAGCTGACAGTGCCTTCTTAGCAAGCGCGACCACATTACTTGGTTCAACATTCATAATCTCCTCAGTATCATCTGCCACAGGCTGCATATTCAAGGAAGATGATGTATTTTCCTCTAATTCCAAGTGTGTCAATCTGTGTTGAAAATAAAAAGGTAAAACTATACATGAGGATGCAATTCATCGGGTAAAGATCTAAAATTACGAGTGTCTAACACAGGAAGCAATATGTGAGATTCAGCTCACAATTGCTTTAAATTGGGCCACTGAAGCAATTGATGCTCAAATTCCAACTGGTCAAGGTTGTCGGATGCCTTCTCTTCTCGAATTGTTGGCCCATTTCCGGTCTGCAGTTTGTTCGTCTCTCCCTGCAATAGAATAAACCATTGTATCTAAGGGGTTACAACACAAAGATCTGAGAAAAGATGTCAACAAAATCAGCAGGAAACGATATTTGCCATCATACAAACACAAAAAGGTTAGTTTACATCTCGATATATGTTGTACATAGATAAAAGAAGAGTCTCACCGAGTTTGCTTTATCTTCCTTAAGGAAATGCAAGACAGGCAGCGGTATATAATCATCTCGCTGCTCTTGTGAGATAACTGATGTAGGAAAATGCCTAGCTACAGAAGTAATCGCAAGAGAAGTTGATGCAGGGGCTTCTTGCTCATGATGAAAAATCGAAACTGTATAATTGTACATATAAGAAATAAGAACTTAAGATCGTTATCTCGATGCACTTGAGAGCAAATTACATACATTCATGCATAACCACAGATACACAGTTTCATCAATCTATAAATTTCCACATAAATACACATTCTTAACAGGAATCTGGAAACTATACGAGTATAAACGACAACATATATATAAAAGGGGCTTCACATGACAGCTGATAAAAAGAGTTGAATTTATGCATCTAATTTACAAGCAGATTGACCAATGAAGTAACAGTAAGTTTCCAGTTGTACTCTTTGAATAAGCCCCATTTCCAAGAACAACGATAATTATACAAGGAACTAGAATGCCGCAAAAAGAAAATCCCAAAAAAAGATGGTATAACAAGAACAAATTTCAAACACTCTTTAAGGCGCAAACAAGTAGATTATCATTCGTGACAGAAAAAAGTAAACTGGGTACTCAGCTAATGATCAGAAACAAAAGAAAACAGGCACTGGCACAAGAAATAAATGTTACCCGAAGCAGATGACGATGAAAATAAAGGATTTTTGAGTTGGGTTCTTGGATGAATAGTTGGAGGAGAATAAAGCAAGTTCCTTGAAGCTTCCATAGATGGAAATGAAACTCTCAGTTTTCTCTAAAACATTGTGCTTGTTTCCTCTTGCCTGAGTTTGTGTGCTTTGCAGAGAACGTATGTTCAAAAGCTTTGAAGTTTTTAGATAAAGAAGAAGGTAAGCACCCACGCCTCAAATTTGGTGATGGATTGATCAAGTGGATGAGGTTAGGCCTTGTTTTGCTTGAGATGAAGAAATGGGTAAATTTTATTTTTAGTACTTAAACTACTAATTTTGATCCGTTTTAATACCTAAACTATTAATTTTTTCAAAACCACATATAAAGTTTAGTTTTTTTCATTTTAATACTATGTCGTTAAAAATTTTAGTTTTTGTTTTATTTTAGTACTATGTTCAAAATTTAACCTTAAATTTTAAAAAAATTAAAAGTTTAGGTATTAAAACAAATCAAAATTGATAGTTTAAGTATTAAATGTGTTAAATTTTTAACGACAGAATATTAAAATGAAATAAAAACTGAACAGTATGTATGATTTTGAAAAAAAATAAAAATTTATATACTAAAACGAATTAAAACTGATAATTTAGATATTAAATGTGTTTTTTACCCTAAAGAAATTTGTAATGATCCTGATGGAGATGAATAAAGCCCAAGTTTCCCTCCACTTATTAAATAATTATAATTTAAATTGCATCAAAATATGTTTTACATTCTATTTTCTTTAGGCATTATTTTGGTTTATATTCAAATAATTTTAATTTAAATTGCATCAAAATATGTTTTATTTATTTATTTATATTAAAAGGGTAAAACTCTATTTCAGGCTCAACAGCCCACATCCTACTTCTTTTAGCACTATTTTGTTTAGGGTGTAAATAAACATAGCGTCCGATGAACTATTCGTGAATCGTTCATATAATGTTCGTTTATTAAGTTAAATAAATGAGTATGAACAAAAATTTTATGTTCATTTAATAAGCGAACAAACACGAACAGAGGTTTGTTCGTTTTATTTATGTTCACGAACAAACTCAATTACAAACACATTTATTTTTTATATATATTTTTGAATATTAGTGAAGGTACATACCAAATTGAATATATGATGAAATTTGAAGTTTAAATTCTGAATCATAAGAAGTTTAAGCATTAGTTGTGTAGTTTTACCATTTCTCTATTATAACACACACAAAAAAACCTTTTATTCTAAACAAATATGTTCACGAACGATAAATGAATGTTAAACGAATATGTTCACGAATGCATGTTCATGAACATATTCACAAACACATTCAAAAACGTTAAATAAACGAGCACGAACAACTTCAAAAATAAATAAACAAACACAAATACGATACTAAAAAATTAAACGAGCATGAACCGAACATGAACACCTTCAAAAATAAACAAACTAACACGAACACAATCTTATTCGTTCAAGCTCAGTTCATTTACACGCCTAATTTTGTCCCACTATACAAATAATAATGTACAATGGTTTCCCACAATAAGTTGCAATATCTGAAAGCTTTTTCATATCTCAGAACCATTTTCCACCTGTATAATTGTATAGGACATCCGATCGCATTGCTCACTCGACTTCATGCTAAACCCCTTCGATCCGCTATCGAGTTTTCTTCGAAGTTACATCTATCTAACCAACTGAAATGGCTGCAGTTGTGGTTTGTTTAAAATCTTCACTGTTAACATGTTGTACAAACTCTTAACCACCTCTGGAATCTATAATCCTCCTCTTATGTTTCCTTTCGGTTGCCCTAGAGGCATCAACAGATGGTGTAACCTTCAATGGCGGTTCGGGACCTATGGCTCCTGCTGATGCCTCCACAATCTGGTTCACCATTTCCAACACCTCACTCATCTTGGGGCGTGACTTCGGGTTTCTGACTATGCATCGGTTGGCCACGATCGCAAGCTTTTGAGCAGACTTGAGTTGGTATTTCCCTTTCAGTTTAGGGTCCAGTATCAGCTCGAACTTCTTTGCTTTTGATAGGTATGGCTTCACCCATTCCAAGAGCTTTTGCTCACTCTTGGGGAGGTTTTTGTCGAAAGGGCGCCTGCCTGTGATGAGTTCATAGAGGAATACCCCATAGCTCCAGACATCGATCTTGCACGTGAGACGTCCCGTCTGGACATATTCAGGAGCCGCGTACCCCATTGTTCCAACAACCTGTCAACGAAAAACAGTTTGGTACTTGTAAACAGATTGATGGATATAGATACAGAAAGCAAAACTGTTTCTTTCTCATGTAATTATAGATGAACCTATCGAGTTTTCATCGAGTAACTAAGGCCAAGTTCCGCATCGAATGAGGTCGAAACCATTCACTTGTTTCAAATGTTCCGAGTGAGTGCATATAAACAACATGCATAGTAATTAAACGTACAACTGATCACTGGATATTTGAGTAGGAAAGATGAACATTGATGAAAAGGGTTTGCTTCAAGTAATAGATTGATCATTTTGCCTGAACATACCGCTGTTGAGACATGAGTTAAACCTTCCGAAGGGCCCAACCTGGCTAATCCGAAGTCCGATAGTTTTGCCCTCCATTGATCATCCAGAAGGATATTAGAAGACTTAAAATCCCTGAAGATGATCTGTAGTCAAATGTGATGAAGGAAACGTATAATAGCCCGGAGAATTTTCGGTAACTTTCATCGAAATGAATATGTCAAGAAAATTGGAATACTGAAATGGAAGCATGGTAGTATTATACCTGGAAATGCATCCCTTCGTGTAGGTATGCTAGCCCTCGAGCGGTGTCTTGGGCTATTTTCAATCTCATCCCCCACGAAAGAGTTGTCTCCGACTCCTCGGACAAAAGATTTTCCACACTTCCATTGGGCATATACTCGTATATCAAAAGCCTCTGGATTCCTCTTTCATCATCTTCAGCACAGTAGCCCACTAGCTTTACCAGATTAGGATGCTCAACCACACCAAGGAGATTTACTTCTGTCACCCATTCCTTGTGGCCCTGTCAATTAACATGTAGAACGCTAAGTTCATAAACATTAGCGATTGGCATAAAGATCACATGAGCCATTCTATTTTCGCTTTTTTTTTTTTGCTCTCGGTATAAAGATGTCTACAGGATGCGATAAGCGAATGGGTTGCAAATGTTCGGATTTGAACCCCTACCTTCTAGCTGCCACATCTTAAAGGTAGAAAATCAATATGCAGCAATAACAACAGCATAGCAAATGCAGTCAGGATTTTCCAAAGATATATGCACTTCTGATAGCAGTGTTACACCCTTACTGGGACGTAGTACTGAAACATTACTTTCGATTAGCACTTGATCGAATTCATTGAGTGATTAAAGCCATGGCAGATACAAAACAATCTTTCAGGCCAAACCAAGCAGATTTTTGTCAACATGCAATATCACTTAAGTATAAAAACTTGGATGGAACCTAATTTCCAACAGGATCAAATCACATGAATATGCATATGATATAAAAAGCTTCCCGTCGTATAAACTCGCAATGATCTCCGTCTATGGCATTTCAAAAGGTAATAAACATAAGGCAATTTAATTCAGAAGAGAAAATTTCAATATGTTGTCATTTCAATGAGACTTGCCTGCAACCCCCGTCTACCAAGTTGTTTCACTGCTACTTCGATCTTTTTCGATGCATCATCGGGACTCTTGATAACCCCCTTGTAAACGCAACCAAATCCACCCTCTCCGACCATGGCAGAGCGGCTAAAATTCTTGGTGGCGGATTTAAGATCAGAAACTGAGAACACCCTTAGATTGTTTGGTCCTCGAGACATGCTAGGGAAAGAGGACCTCCTAATGGACTCAGTGCTGAGTCTTGATACATTTTGAGAGTCTATTGCAGATCCAGACCGCCCTATTCCTCGATCAGTGAATGTGGAATTCATAGATCGAGTTGAAATTGGTGTAGGGGTCTTCGGTTCATCCTGTTTTCCCCACCCCGGAATTTTAAAACACCTCATAGCCTCAAAGAATTAAAATACAATGAATTCCAGTGCAGATCCAGATGTGATGAGGCACAAAACAGACTACCTACAAAAACTGCAAAGTCGAGCTAAACACAAGGAATAACCATGATTTCTTACATGCCAATAAGAAAAAAATTGCCATGAAACAACACAGATCAAGGATAACTCAATTTCACATTTCCAATCATGGTGAAGATTTGAAAAAAATGCACAAGTCTATGGAAAACTAGATTAAACAAATTACTTCCCAGAATTATATCATATATAATGATGATGCAAAAGAAAGCAAAACCCCAAAAAAGGTTCTAAATTCTAACATCTCCAAGGAACCTATATCTTCAGCCTTAGCCTTAGAGATCCATCACGTTTCCATTTCCAAACACTGGCTTTTGGACCATAATCCACAAGGGGAAAGAAATAAGGATTTTGTTTCTTATATTAGTAAGAGTAATCATTGCTAAATGTGAAAACTCTGGATATATTAAAAAAAACTGAAGAAAATTTTATCGAGCTCACCTTCAATTCTCTTGTTTGGGGGAGGTAAGAATTAGGCTACAAAGCTTGAAGAAAAGAAAATATCCCAAATTCAAGGATTTTAAGAGAAACCCATTGGTTCAATGGCCCCCAAAAGACCTCCAAAAGCTTTGAATTCTGGAAGAACAGTGTTCAACTCTATAAAAGAAGTCGATACACAGCAGGCCAAGCAGCGGGGGCATCAACCAACAAGTCATCAGACCAAGCAAATTTTAAAAAGAAAAAGGGAGAAAATTTGACATAGAAGTTTAACTAAACCTGCTAAAATTTTCAACACTGAACTATTTGAAGAAAAAAAGTGCTCAAATGTGAAAAGGTGCATTGAATATGAGATAAAAAAAATTAAAAATGCAAAAGAAAAAGGCGTTGATTTGAAGAAAAGTCTTTGTTTCGTGATCGATACGATGGAGACTTCATCAAAGTCAAGCAAATCTTTAAAAATACGCTTCTTTAGGCTCTTAACTACATTATCTTCACAATTTCGTGTCATTTTTCGTTCATTTACAGGTGCAGTGAACTACATCGTCATCGATACGGTGTAAATTTTTACGATAGCATCACGTCACCCTCACCCATGCTGAAAAAGATCGATTCCAGTCAATTAATTGGATCATTTTCATTGAATTGAGAATCTGTGTTTGTTCTTTTGATACATATTATAAAACCCACAAAAATTTTCCAATGAAAAATTCGATTGAACAGATAAAAACCAGTAAATTTGGAATATCCATACATTTTCTCAAGTCTTCGTTCTCTCTGTTTCAAAAGAATCATCTCTTTGAAAACTAAGGATGGGCATTGGTCGGGTTGGGTCGGGTTTTTGGTCCACCCGATCTGACCCGAGAAGAAGGGGACCTCCACTCGTGACCCGATTCGATTCGACGAAATTAATTTTTCACCAGATCCGATCCGACCCGAAATAATAAAAAAATTATTTTTATTCAATAAAAACAATGACTAAATTGAAAAAAATAATATATAGAGGGATATTATTGTAATTATTCCTAAATATATAGGGTAAAATTATATATTTTTCCGGGTCGGGTCGGATTTTTTTCAACTTAAACCCGACCCGACCCAAACACCACATAAAAAAAACCCAACCCGAACTTGAAATATTTTTAGAAAAATCCGAATCGATCGAGTCGAAACCCGCCGGGTTCGGATTAGATGCCCATCCCTATTGAAAACCATGGTTTCATGCAATCGAATGCCATGTTGGCCTCTCTCTGGGAACTGTGTAATTTAACCTTTGTAAAGTATATCGTCTTTACGATGTTTTTGGACTTTTGGTGTAATTTTTTTTATTATATTTAATGTTTGAAATTGTCGGATTGATCCCATTTTGTGTGACGGTGCCTTAAATATTTATGTACTTGCTCAGTAAGCTATTGCTGATCGTACATCATTCTACTTTCAAAATAAAAAATAATTATGTTTTGAGTTATATATTTATATAATATATTTAAAAAAATAATATTATACGCATTATAATTAAGATATTAATAAGTTATTAAAACACTATAAAAATTTACAAAATATTATCAAAATATTAAATAATTTCTAAAATAAAAATATTTAACAAATTTATTCCACAATAATTAATCATCTAGTTAAAAATAGACAATAAATAATAAAATTCGTTATTTCAGTTTAATTAAAATTAAAAATTATCTAAAATATTATTTTCCATGATCGAGAAAAACACTATTATTAATAATATTAAAATATTCTTATTTTTCAATTTTCATTTTCGTCCACAATATTTAACCAACGAAACCTACACCGCACCGCATAGGTAAAAAGGCCAAAATAGGGGCAGTTACAAATTATGAAATCAGCGTTTCGAAACGCTTACTGCTTTACTCTCTCTCGCTACTCCTTAAACCCTAACCCCTCAATCCTTCACTTCATTCCCTATTCTCGTTCGTTTCCTTCGCCTGTTTCCAAAAGCATTCCTCCTCGTTCCCCTCTCTGCCTTGCTCTCTTTTCCACTACCATGGCCGGCGGGGATTCCGAGTCGCCGCTAACCTCTCCTTCTCTGGAGCAGCAGTTCGAGAAGTTCCGAGTCCAGCTAGAAGATTCTGGTAGCTTACTTGAACGCATACGCGCCGTCGTTATGGAAATTGAGTCGGCCACTCGACTCATGCAAGCTAGCCTCCTCCTCGTTCACCAGTCTAAACCAATTCCCCGTAACATTCTTCTTTTTCTTCTTCTTTTATTTTATTTTATTTAAATGAATTTTTGAATATTACTCATTTGCAATTTTATGCATGATAGAGGTTTTAGAGAAGGCAAATGCTCAGATTAATGTTCTAAAGGATCTTTACAGCAAACTTGCTGAAGTTGTTAGGGAATGCCCTGGACAGTATTACAGGTGAGATTGACTTAAGGTTTTGGTGAATTTCAAGTTTTTATTTTATGCGGAATATTTTTTGATATTTTTACTTTTTCCTTTTATGGTATTTGGTGTGTTTAGATATCATGGGGATTGGAGGAGTGAAACTCAAATGGTAGTTTCTTTGCTTGCCTTTATGCATTGGTTGGAAACTGGAAATCTGCTCTTGCATACCGAAGCTGAGGAAACACTGGGATGTATGTTTCGATAACTCATATTTCTTCTGTTGTTTGCGACTAATTTCTGTCTTTTCTAATGAATTTAATTGAGAAAATTGGTTGTTTTGGCAGTGAATGATTCGGATTTTGCTTTAGATCTGGAGGATTATCTTGTCGGTAAGAGTTGAAAGTTTCTTTCTTCGAAGATGTTGCTGAATTTTATCATCTAATGGGTGTTTGATCTGTAGTCTTTTAATCTTTCAAAGCTTTAGTTTCCTTAACTAGCCTCAAGTATTCTAGTTATTGAATTGAAGTAAATGTGGTTGACTAAATAAGTAGGCAGGATGAACTTCCTTTTACATTCTAATGCCTTATTGTCTATCTTGTAATGAAGTCTGTCTTGTAATAGTGATTTATACTTGTATAGTTGTATTAAAATATTCTGAAGGTATTCAATCCTGGTTACATTTATTGATGAACTAAATGGAGCATTCTTGGTTCTTCATTTTTCTCGGCTACCGTTTTTCTTTGGTTTGTGTCAAGAAAAGTGACATGACATTTATTTGGCATCTGAATAAAGGGGTTATTATTTTTCTGGCAATTGAGTATACTGATCTGGGAATGTTTTTCCCATCATGCAGGTATTTGTTTCATGTCAAATGAATTGGTAAGAACTATGTCAGCAACTTGCTGTCTCAGACTTTCTGAACTGGGAAATGCTCTCTTGCTGCTCTATTCTTCACATGTTTTTTTAGTCCGGTGTTTGCTGTTTGTTAAACTACAAATTACAGTTAACTTGTTAGAATGTATGCGATAATTCCAAGTGAAACATTATGGAAATTGAATAACTAGGGGAATGCGGCTCTCTGATGATGTAGTTGACGATTTTCTAGTTTTCTACCATTAAAGTAATTGGAAAAATGTGGGAAAAAGCCGTAACACGTCACGCATTCTGTTTCACTTTTCCAGCCAAGATATGTTGTGAACCAAGTGACTGCTGGTGACTATGATTGCCCAAGAAAGGTGTTGAGGTTCTTGACAGATCTTCATGCAGCCTTCCGGATGCTTAATCTCCGAAATGATTTCCTGCGAAAGAAATTTGATAGTAAGCTTAATCTTCTTATTGTGCTTAGAGAATCTGGTGTTTCAAGAAACCTCTTGTTATAGAATGAGTTTTTTTTAATGCCTTCTTATTACTGTAGGTATGAAGTATGACCTAAAAAGAGTTGAAGAGGTCTATTATGACGTGAAGATTCGAGGCTTGGCAACCACTGGCGATTCTGTAGGTGATTAAGGAATCCAAAAGATATGATAGTTTGCAAAAGTGGTATGTAGAACTATTAGATTCACTCTTTCGTTTTCTCAACTACAATTTCTTAGGGTAGTTTGTGATGCTTCACTGCGTGGTTTAAAGCCAAATTTTGGTACCTAGACAAGGAAGGCTAAATAAAAAGTTGTACTGAAAGCATATATGATAGTCGTTTTCCTTTTCAAACTGTTTATTCGAAGTGCTTTTCTGCGATTCCATCATAAATTGTTGCCTCTTTACTGCATTTTGGGTCAGTCTTTATGGCTTAACTTGCAAAATGCAATATGTGATACACTAGCCTTTCATTGTTAAGCTTGGTATTCCACATATAATATTGGCAAAAGGGTAACTTTTGCCCATGTAGTAGACCAAATTTATCACTTTCACCCCTATCATATTTTCATATCAATTTAGCCTTCGAAGTTGTTCAATTGCATCATTCTATAACCCTGCCCCTAACTTAAAACCTTAAATTACAAATCCTAAACCATAATCCCATGACCTTTAAACCCTAACACTAACTTAGGATTTATAATTTAGGGTTTTAAGTTAAGGGAAAGGTATAGAATGATGCAATCAAACAACTTTTAGGGCTAAATTGATGCGAAAATACGATAGGGACGAAAATGATAAATTTGGTCTACAATATGGGCAAAGGTGACCCTTAAGCCTATAATATTGTCTCCCCAGTCACATGAATTCATGATAATACTCTCATCTTATTTTACCTTGTTTTTAGGCTATATAAGTGGAGATGTAGGTTTCAGTTAGTACGTGTGTGTATATATATATATATATATATATATATATATATATATATATATATATATATATGTTCGTTTCATATGTTCATATTCACTTTGATATGAACTAAAGTGTTAATAAGTAATCGACTGAATCAATCTATGTTGTCTCGTATTCACTTGTTTTAATCTATACCATTATCAAATTCCTAATAGTGCAATTATTAAAATATTATTTGAGTGGTGACACCAGTTCGGTAGGTAAATATACAAGAATCATATTAAAAAGAAGGGTAAACTACGCATTTAGTACCTAACATTTAGTTTTTATTTTATTTTAGCACTTCATTGTTAAAAACTTAACGTGTAGTACTTAAACTACCAGTTTTGATTCGTTTTTATATCTAAATTTTTAGTTTTTTTAAAACTTAACGTTAAATTTTGAACAGGTTTTTAGAATAAAACAAAAATTAAACTTTAGGTATGATTTTAAAAAAATTGAAAGTTTAAATATTCAAACGGATTAAAACCGATATTTGAGGTACTAACTGTGTAATTTACTCAAAAGAAACCATATGTTATAGGTTATGTTAGCAATTTAATTTTAGGTAAAATACACTGGTGATCCCTTTTGGTTTTGGTTTGTCTTATTTTGTCGCTCATTTTGAAAAATTTACATTCTAGTTTGTTGGTTGATTTGATACGTTAATAAAAATGATTAAATTTTAAGTTGACCCCTTAATTTGACATAGAATGACCCTAAATTTTAGATATAGTACTGATTTAACTTTTGAATTTTAGATAAGATATCAATTTGACTTTTAAATTCATTCGAAGTCCCCTGACAACCGTCAGTTTTTTTTTATCAGTGACGAGTCTTTGATCTCAAAATATTCATTTTACTCATTTATTACTTTCTGAACACTAATTTAGTATTTTGTTTCACTAAAAATACCCCATTCTCTACAAACTTATTCTATAGCTTATAAACTCATTATAGAACCCTAAACGGTCCAAAATGTATAGGAATTCGAGGTTTCGACAAGAAACCCATACTACTGCAATTCCGAAGACATAAATTAACTGCAATTTTAGGGTTCAAGAAGTCTTACCTATTATGCTGTATCGCAGGACGAGTAACAAGCCTCGTCAACATATTCCAGATCAAACCTCCCGTCGTTGAGCATCAATGGAACACCATGGCCATAATATCCTAAGATCCACCTCTCACATTAAGATGGCCATTAAACTTGTAGTTTTTACTGCACCGTTGAACAAGGTCTCTGGTTAGGCATTTCAACTTTGTACGTAATCGCCGATACCTCCAAAATCCTCGTTCCCAGGAGGAACGCTGCCCATACGTGGCCCAAAAGCATGCATCTTTAGCAACCATCATCAAGAGCCTTTGACCAAGCCAAGCACGTGTAGAAGAGTTTGAAGGATTCTAGAATAAGTTTGTAGAATTAAGGGTATTTCTTTTTATGAAATAGACATTTAATTCGAGATAAAATGAGTGAATTGAAAACTTTAGGGTTCAACAGTTGATGGTGATTAGTGAGAGTGATAAATGACAGTCGACAATGAAAATCGACGGTGCTGTACTAGGTCATTTTCATGTTGTATTTGTTGTATCGAACTTTCCATTTTTAATATATATGAAATTAGTTGTTCGAGTACTATTTTCCTCCTTCCGCTATTCGATAGAATGCTTCGGCATCTAACTAATATGAAGAGGATTTTTAACGAGACTCCTTTCATTTAAGAAAAAGTCTAAATTTTAAAGATTAAATAGATATTTGATCTAAAATTTAAGATTAAACTAATATTTTACATATAAAATTCAATTAAATATAACTATTTCTATTAACACGTCACATCTTTAAGCTCATTAAAATTAATGATTAAGTGATCATAACGTAATTTTTTTTTCAAAAATTATGACTAAAATAACATAAACAAAAAATAAAAGGATCACCATTGTAATGTACCTTTTATTTTTTATTATAATAATATTATTTTCCATGTATCACTCATTTTTTAGTTCTTCCTAATTTGTTTATTAATGTCATTGATTAATGTCATTGTTTTATAACAAATCAGTTACTTAATGTTAACAATCGTTATTGGACATTACCCGATTGACCTGACACCAGAGATCTACATTGCGATCGTATTTTTTATCTCGTTATGTTTATCACAATTACAAACATAACCAAAATAAAATAAAATATAAGTCGCTACACTCACTACATGTCTCGCCCAATAACAATTGTTAAAATCAAGTAACCGATTTGTTATAAATAGTTGTTAGCATTAATAATCAAATCGTTAATTTTAAAATATCAATGTAAAGAAAACAGTGATAATTTAATCACTGTAGTTTACCAATAAAAATCTTTTGTAATACTACTTTTACTGTGTGATTGGAGTTATTAACCCATACATCTAGGGTTATTTTGCAATCTACGATAAATACTACATTACAGGAGAACTCGTCACCTGAGTTCTAAGAAAAAAATATTTTTTTAATCAAAATTTTCGTCCTGGTATAATAAATTCTAATAAATTATATTTTATTGAAACTCGTCAGTTAAAGGTGACGAGTTCGAATAAAAAATATATATCTCTTGCAATTGGGCGATATATTCCTCCATGGAGCTCCATGAATCAAGAAAAGTAAAAAAGCCCGAAGAGGAAGGGAAAACAAAAGAAGGGTTGAAAAGAAAAATCTTTTCAACTTGTTGCTTCCAATTGGGAAGCATGGGAGAAGCCATGGAAGCTAGTTGAAGAGGAATTAAAAAATGGCTACCATATAAATAAATATATATTAAAAGAGAAGGCAAATGGAGACTGACCAGGCCAGCTAAGAGAACCAGAAGAATGCAGGAAGAGCAGAGGCCTGAAAAGAAACTGAGGACCAACAGAGGAGGGATGTCCAATCAAATCATTGATTCATACGAGTGTGGTTAGAAGTGTGACCGACATACCTGTTTAAGTCCAATCAAACTAGGAAATTATATGTATACTACAAAATATAACCATTAGATGAATGCACATAGATACAAGGGTGCAAAATATGATACAAGTGATCTCAATAATTGAGGTCTTAGATTCGAACACCGTATATACAGGAATGTATAAACGTTTATTATCAAATAATTGATGGTTTTTGAACAGATATTACAACAGAGACTATCATTAGATATGATTATATGAATCAATGAAAAGCTCCTCTCTAATCTCTTAGAAGTCTGGGTTTGAGGCAAGCATCATGCATGTTTAATATTTTACGATATCCATTAATGGTAGCTACTACTACTAACAGTTGCATATACATCAAGAAACTGAAAGTGGGGGAATCGCACTTTGCCCAAGAAGCTCATCCCATCCCTCTTTCATATCTTATCTTTTTCACACTCTCGACTTGTGGGGTCTTAACTTCGAAAGATCACCGATCAAGCACCATCCTCTCTCTCTCTCTCTCTCTCTCTCTCTCTCTCTCTCTCGGTTCATGTCTGACCTTAGAAGCATTAAATTCGTATAGCCTTTTCATATCATGAGATGCATGTTCGTACACTTTCGTATCAAGACACCAACTGCTATAAAAAGGAAAGATATACCATCTGAATATTCATACATGAAAATCTACCTAGCCTCTGAGGCCTTAGCTACCATTATGTCAACCAATTAATGAATCAGTCTCTATCTCTATTTCTTTCAGTTCCACCACCCAAATCTGCATTTCAGATTATTCGCAAGTTCTTTTTTCCTCCCATCTACTGTCTATGTTGGCATATTACTAGGCAATGAAGGGGAAATTTGTAAAGGCATGCATTACCAAATGGAGGAAGATGGGGAGTAATAAAGTCATAACTTGTAGCAGTTGTGAATTCTGTTCCGAGTGGACGAAGTGGCCTAGTTAAATGCATGAAGAGGGCTCAATCCCAAGAGATGTACCGAAAGGTCACTTACTAGTATATATTTGTGAAAACCATAAGAGGTTTGTGATTAAACTCAACATGCTCAAGCACCCACTGTTCAAGGCATTGCTAGATCGAGCTCGGGACGAATATGATTTTACCACTGACTCCAAACTCTGCATTCCTTGTGATGAAAGCCTCTTCCTCGATGTTGTTCGCTGTGCTAGCTCTCCTCAAGATTGAATACTCTCCCTGGCGTCTAAATGAATTTATGCTACAAACTTGATTGATTCACAAGGTTTGGTTTCGAGTACAATAAGAATGATAATATATAGTATACTTAGTGGATTTTTGTAACATAAATTCTAATTGTAACTCCATTGGAAAATATTGACTTCCAGTTTGCACTATTGTAAGTTCTGTTTCTAAGGGCCTCAAACCCAGTTAAACACACAGATCAACACTGAACAAGAAGCCAGACCAGAGCCTACCAGTTCTAACCTTCACCTTACATGGAAACTTAAAACAGTAATATCAGCAAATTAATGTATAAAACATGTTTACTCGGATTCGAGTGTATCATATATAAATATGTCCAACACATGTACGTTCAATTTTTTTCCAAGTTTTTATTTGCAGGACTTAGAAAACCATACCTCTATCTGCATGTACAAATATGTTCTAGACATAAATGTCGAACATGAGTGTTTCAAACAAAATGAAGTGTCAGAACAATATAATATAGTATAGAGCTGTAAGGTTAGGTTTATATAACTATCAAAGAAAATTACCCCGGACAACGGAGATGCAATTAGTTCTTTAATCTCCTCGAGCCCATCTCAAGGGCAGTGTCCATCATGTTTACCTGTAAAGGTAAAGCATGCTTCAACTAGTATGTGCACACAAAAAAGCAGAAACTTATGAACAAGAATCCGACATTTTAATGCATATAATAACTTGCCATTATGCTGCACCGTGCACATTTTAATGCATTTTCAAAAAAATTATTCACACTGACCATAATCTCTAGTAGCTTTTTGCACATTCCCAGGTCAGTGTGCTTTTCATTGAATCAACGTCAAGTAATTCGATATCCAACCAAACAATCATATAGCAAAAATAAACAACCAAAAGAGAACCAGATTCAAGGGGCAGTGATAGAATTGACATCTTAGAAGTACAGGAACAGTTGTGAAATGATAAAACCTTTCAAACATTGAGCTACGAATCATACATCAATTGACATGTAGCCTATTCTTCATATCGCAATAACATACTTGCACACGTGTCCCAAGAATATTGACAAAATAGTGTTTCCCAGTCCCACAAGGAACAAAGAAAAGTTGTTTACAATCACTGCATAGCATAGTACAAGAATCTTAAGAATGACAAAATACAATCAAATATACTGCATTGAATCTGGAAACACTAATCAAAGAACCTTCAGATGAATGTGGATGGGGCTGTTTGCTGTGTTGGGATGATGGCTGGTATAGGAGGAATTCTCAGGGATTGGAATCAGGTTACTCTTCTTTCATTCTCTGAAAGTGTCGGGCCTACCACACCTATTCTAGCAGAACTAAAAGCTATCAAAAAAGGCATTGACATCTTTGTTTCTTCAGATAGGGTGTTGAAGGGCAGGCTAATTATCGAATGCGACTCAAAGATAGCAGTGGATTGGATCATTAATCAAGTTTCTGCCCCTGTTTTTCTGTCTAATTTTGTTAAGGAAATTGTGGCTTCTGTTTCTTTAATTCAGGCTATTGTCAGGTGGATTCCTAGGAGCTGTAATTGTGAAGCTGACAAGTTAGCGAAGGAGGGAATTGGGTGATTGTAGTCATGGATTTAGTTGGTTTGTTTGCTTTAGAGTAATAGTGTTTCAGGAGTGTTTTTATGTCGGTAGTATTTGGCTGGAGAGTTCTTAAGTTTTATGTAAAAGTTTTATATTTAATAAAATTATGTACTCTTTTCCTTCTTCAGCTAGTTGGTTCTTGCCTATGGGCAAGGGTCTACTAAGAGGGAGGTTTTTAAAGAGGCATTCTATTCCTATCAAAAAATATATATAATGATTATAATAAGATCCTACTCCATATGCAACACAAGATAGAGCCATCCGATTGCCACAAACATGGAGTAAATGTATATTTCAAAGGCCAAAACCTAAAAGCTTCTTTTAAAACCAAAAACAGCAACATTGAACCAGTTCAACTAAATAGGCAAAGCGGCCAGTTCATTCATGCTGCTCCCCCATAGCAAAAAACAATGGAGACAAAATGCAGTTTGCGGATAATATTCAAAATGTAGTTGTCTTACATCATTTTAGTGATTATCCCTAAACCCTAAACACAGATACAGTTAAATATCAATTCACCAGGCCAACTTGTTGAACTTAAGACACTTTGCAAATTACTAACCATTACAAGTATTTTCCATAACCTTTAAGAAATAATTAACACAAGCAGTTTTTTTCTTTTTCTTTTTTTCAAAATAGGAAGAATCTTGCCTTAATAAGTTAATCTAGATGCAGCAAGCTTTCATGATTAAAACTCATTTTCTTCTCTTCATCAACTAACTTAACATTCATCGCATCTCTAGTAAATAACCTTTGGTCAGTCTAATGTTGTTTTCTTTCCTAAAGCTCGCAAGCACTCGAGCAAACCATCTAAGACATCAGTAAGCACACTAAGAACAGTATTCAAAACTTTAAGCCTTTACTTTTTTTCCCATTTGATGATTTAATGGACTGCAAACTGCAATAGAATTCATGGCAGTCAACATCTCAAACAAATTTCGCCACGGGGTAAAAACAAGAAAAGCCTCCTAGTGCAAATACAGAAATTCATATCATCACACATCCACAAAGAGAGCAGGAAAAAAACCACTCAACAAAAATATAACAGCACAAGTATAACAGCATCAACACTACTTGAAGCATGAGAAATCATTCCCATTCTCATTGATACCAGCAAGGAACAAGCACTGCAAGGAAGTAAAAAACAATAGATTGTAACAGAATATACACATAGAAGCTCTGTTGTGGAAAAATTACACAAGTATTAAATCGTTTTCCCTCATGATAAAAGTACATGATACGCATTGGCAGGTTTTTAGACCAAAATCAGGCAGTATTGCATCACTAGCACTGCAAAACTAGGAAGACTCAAAGCCTTTGAAAATCTCGCCACTATCTTGAGCTATCATCAGTGTCACAATAAAAAACCTAGCAGCAAAAGCAACTTTCACAGATATTTTCTCAATTGAGTTTCATCGAATTCCATCGACCAAAGCCTCCAATTCTCTCCTCCCATACCTCCTACCCTCTGCATTAGCTTCCCTATACTTCACCACAAAGTAAAATATCAACCAAGCCATCATGAAATACACCTCCAGAGCTGCCTGAATAACTGTGGCAAAAAATTCTCCACCCATGCGAGTCAACACCAATCTCGCTAACGATCCACTTAAGATAGCTTCATAACACTTTATTTGTATCCCTTGGTTCAAAAGCGTTGACATCAAATAACATCCTTCTTTAATAATTTCTCTCCCGCTTCTCCCTGAATCCACAATGGCAATCCAAGCAGCTAATGAGAACGGAAACGAAACTAAAGTATCCACAAGAAACCAGGTAAACAAAAACCCTGAAATCTCCTTCTCATATCCCCTAATCCATGGTGACATAACTGAGAAAGGCATCAACTTTAACCTAATAAAAAGCTTAAAGAACGAGTAGTGATCCTCAATCTCTCCGAAATACCATAATCCAATAAGCTGAGTTACTGCGTCTCTTACCGCCCATTTTATCAAAACGAACCCAGTGAGTCTTTTCAAACCCATTTTAGAGCCATGCCAAAAAGCCCCAAAACAGGAAACAAATCTCCCAATCAGGTCATTAACAATTGTGATGAAAAGAACACCAAAAACCAAAGAATAAATAGCCGTAAACCCTAGAATTACCCATCCATACGCCGCCGAAAGAAAGCTAACAACGAAGAACAGCGCAGCTGCGTCATGGCGCCCCAATTCAAATCCTTTATAAACGAACTGAAAATCCACAATTCTTTCTTCTTGATGTTCCCTTTCATTGTTTTCGTAGTCAAATGAAATCGTCTTGAATTTGACTCCGTACCGAACAATTTTCGGCAGCAGGATTCCGTTATCCGCAACGAAATTCGAAAACCCTGATTTAGTATCGAAATTTGAAAGGATCACCGGCGTGCCATTGAGGGGGCGATTAGAGAAAGAACTGAACGGGGAGCGGTGGCGGAGGTCATCTTCAGAAGATAAGAAGTCGTCGTCAAGAGTGCCGAGGCGCGTGAGGTGGAGGAAAGGACGGCGTGCGTGGCGACGGGTAGACTTGAAACGAGCATTGGGGTGGGAAGGGTGGAGGTCGAGGCGGGTAAGGAGGGATTTGAAAGAAGGATCGTGGTCAATAAAGGAATTGAGGACAAAGGAGCCTGATTCAACTAAAGAACGGATTGAGAGTAAGAGCAGAGAAAGGAAAATGAACACGAAAGGGCGGGCGGTGAAATGCACGGCGGTCCTTCTGAGGATCTGGGATGTGGACCGTAGCTGGCCTAATCGGTGGTGATGGTGGTGGTCGGTCATGGCTGTTTCCTCTTTCAGGTTCAGAATTTTTATTTTGAGGTTCGAGAGAAGTAAAGTTATTTATGGAAGGCTTAAATATAAAAATAGAGTAAATTAACTCATTTACTTTCTTTTTTATTTTTCTCATCATACTTTTAATTCTTTTATTTTACTCACTGAAATTTACAGATTAAATCGTTTTGCTCACTCTGTCGTTATCTCTCTAACTATGTGATGATGTGATATTTTTTATTATTTAATATAAAATATTTGAAAATATAAAGGATAAATTACATTATTCATCACTGAATTTTATTATCTCTCCTATTTTACACACCCAACTATAAAATAAAACATAAGATGGTCAAATGCCACCACCGGTCACTATAAATAGTGATCGTTTGGTACCAAATTTCATAGATCGTTTCGTCTCGACACATTGAGTCCAAATCCAATATCTATTTTCCGAACGAACACCATCAACAGTGATCGACGGTGGCACCCGATCACCTTTTATTTTTATTTTATAGTTGAGTGAGCAAAATATGAGAGAGAGATAGTAAAGTTCAGTGAGAAACAGTGTAATTGACCATTAAATAATAATAAAAATGACACATCATCACACCGTTAGAGAGTTAACGACAAAGTGAGTAAAACGATTTAATCCGTAAAGTTCAGTGAGCAAAATAGAAAAATTGAAAGTACGGTAAGTAAAATAGAAGAGAGAGTAAAGTTCAGTGGACAATAGTGTAATTTACCCTATAAAATAAATGTCTAAACAGTATATTTTTTATGAATCTTTTAAAAAGATTTAAATTCCTAAATAAACCCTAATATCAAAAGTTGAATATAAAAATCGGATCAGCCAATCCTGAATATTGTACACAGTAAATTACCGAATAATGTTAAGTACCGTTTGTACGAATAGATAATAAATATTAAGAATTCCAAACTTAAATAATATTAAATATATTAAATATCTAAAACATTAAAAATCATTATTATAAATTAAAATCATTCATATAAATATAAAAAAATTCTTTCTTTTCTCTCTTGTATCTATTTTGTTATTTTCTCTTGTATGGAATAGTCCGCTCTTGACGGATCTTGACGTTCCACAGCTTCGAGTAATTCCTTACCGCTGGATGTTGACGGATGAAGTTCACAATTGGCACCGGTAGTGAGCGTTTTTTGAGCTATCTGGCTCACGGTGTTCTTCGCCGTATTCCTCAAATTCTCTTCTAAATGCCTCAAATCTATAGCTTGGCAAAGTGCCACCAAGAATGTAGATGACATTAGCTTCAAGATATCGACAGCTTCGGCGGTTTTTCTTGAAGAGATTAATCCCAAGGAGTTCACATCTTGGTTGTGCTGCTCTGCACTTTGAACATGGTTGGTGACTGGATTAGCTAAGTATTGGAGCTCAGAACAATAGGACGCCATTGCAATTTCAGCACCCTTGAAATCATAATCCAGACTTGGGTTCCTTCCACCGGAGAGGTTTGATGGGAGTCCATTGTTGTAGAAATCATTTTCAAGTTCAGAGAATTGGGCGAACATAAGTTTTCCGATAGCTGCAGTAGTCAAAAGAGCATTGTCCATTGACACACCGATTGGGGTACCCTGGAAGTTGCCACCATGTAATGCCTTGTTCCTTGAGACATCGATCAAAGGGTTATCATTGACGGAGTTAATCTCTCTTTCGAATGATTTGGCTGCAAATCTGATCACTTCAATCTGTGGACCGAGCCACTGTGGAGATGTCCTCAGAGTATATCGATATTGTTTTGGTTTCTGCAAAGGGTCCATTTCATGCAGCTTCTTAGCCGCTTTAAGATAAGAGCTTCCCTCAAGTATGTGTTCCATTATAGCAGCGGCCTCTATTTGTCCTGGATGGTGCTTCAGTTTATGTGTGAGGTGGTCGGTGAACTCAGGTTTACCATTAATGACTTCAGCAAAAATTGCAGATAAAACTTCTGAAAGAACAGCCAATATGTTTGCCTCAAACAGAAACATGGAAGCCAAGCCCGAACCAACTGCAGTGCCATTGACTAGAGCAAGGCCTTCTTTAGGCTGCAACACGAAGAACCCGGAATCGATGTTGGGTAGACGAAAGGCCTCCTGGGCATCAAGGGATTCCCCACGGGGTCCAACAGCTTTGGAATTAGGCCTGCCAGGGAGCAATGTAGGAAAGAGGGACAAGATCACCAGATGCAGTAATGGTGCCACGAAGCGGCAAACATGGGGTTCCTCTGGAGTATGGTGTTGATTCTCACTAGCACGGCTGCTCGAGTTGCTGAGTGAGGAAGTGTGTGGTATGACTCGGTTCCATTGCCAAAGATTCCAGCATTGAAGAACCTGAACCAACAAAGCACATTCAATTTATACTAAATAATGTTTATTTTCTTTTCTGATGGAATATAATATTTACATGCATGAATAGGAGAATAAAGACTTACCTAATTAGCTCTTTTTGAAGAGCGACTCCTTGATTAGTTCTTCGATGAGAAGTGGCACCAAAACCAGTAGTGACACCATAGCTGTCAGTGCCTTTGTTCATACCATCAAGCACCCAATCAGCGCTGCCTTAATACCAGCACTCGCATCCTCTGAAAGCTCAACCTTTGATGCCCAAGTCACGTGTAGCTATGGCTGCAACTTGAGAAATCGTCATTGTCTCACCACCCAGCTTCACCGACGGCCTCCTATACTCAGAGACCATACGTTTCACTTCATCCAAATGGCTCCCCTTGATTGGTTAGTACCATAATCTTAAGCACCATAGTCAATGGCAGAAGCAATGACAAGCAATGAACATAAAAGCAAGGAGGTAACCAACAAGGCATCGGGGATAGCCATGGCTTCCGACTATAGCTACCGAGCACACAAAGAAGAAAAGTGATGGATGAAGTGCAAGACGCGGTTACTTTCACTGTCCTTTTAGGAGTGGGATTCCTCTATTTAAAGTTGAAGAGTTGACCGGTCATAGGGATTGAGTCTGCTATAATGGTGCCTAAAGGATGCTAAGAAATATTACCATATTCAATACGATTTAAAGCTACACGAGCATCAAACTCACCATCCATGGCTCTAAAACCATGATCCCAAGCAACAGAGAGACCAATACGGATGGCTTGAAATTAATCAATTTCAAGTAAAAATAGTTTTAGTTTAGTAGAAACGTCTTCATAAAAATCCAATAACAAATTAATTTAACTAATTTCAAGTACTAATTAGGGTACCTAAATTTATGTAAATGATTTTGTATGCTAATCAATTATTGGTTGTTAGCTTACCAGCCCATCCCTATTTAAACCAACCTTATTGTCCATTATCTTTTCAGGGAGGAAACGAAGGGAACAAAAGTCCCCTCAGCGGAACTGATTCCGTTTCATCTCCCTTCTCTCTCAACTGCCCAAAACCTCACATTTTGATTACCAAGTTCTGCAACTTTTACCATGGACAAGATCACTCGGAAGGATCAACAAAGCAGCTCTTTGGACCCTTTGAACTGGGGTGTCGTAGCCAAGTCACTCAAGGGGAGCCATTTGGATGAAGTGAAACGTATGGTCTCTGAGTATAGGAAGCCTTTGATGAAGCTGGATGGTGAGACCTTGACGATTTCTCAAGTTGCAGCCATTGCTACGCTTGACTTGGGCGTCAAGGTTGAGCTTTCAGAGGATGCGAGGGCTGGTGTTAAGGCCAGCGCTGATTGGGTGCTTGATGGCATCAACAAAGGAACTGACAGCTATGGTGTTACTACTGGTTTTGGTGCTACTTCTCATCGAAGAACTAATCAAGGAGCCGCCCTTCAAAAGGAACTAATTAGGCAACTCTTTATTCTCCTATTCATGCATGTAAATATTATATTCCACCAGAAAAATAATAAATAAACATTACTTATTCAGGTTCTTAAATGCTGGGATCTTTGTCAATGGAACCGAGACATGCCACAAGCTTCCTGACTCAGCAACTCGAGCAGCCATGCTTGTGAGGATCAACAGCCTACTCCAGGGATACCCTGGGATCAGGTTCGAAATTCTGGAGGCAATCACCAAGCTTCTCAACCACAACATCACCCCGTGTTTGCCGCTTCGTGGCACCATTATTGCATCCGGTGATCTTGTCCCTCTTTCCTACATTGCTGGATTGCTCACTGGCAGGCCTAATTCCAAAGCTGTTGGACCCCATGAGGAACCCCATGATGCCCAGGAGGCCTTTCGTCTAGCCAACATCAATTCTGGGTTCTTCGTGTTGCAACATAAAGAAGGCCTTGCTCTAGTCAATGGCACTGTAGTTGGTTCGGGCTTGGCTTCCATGGTTCTGTTTGAGGCAAACATATTGGCTGTTCTTTCAGAAGTTTTATCTGCAATTTTTCCTGAAGTCATTAATGGTAAACCTGAGTTCACCGACCACCTCACACATAAATTGAAGCACCATCCAGGACAAATAGAGACCGCTGCTATAATGGAACACATACTTGAGGGAAGCTCTTGTCGAAACGATTTTTTTTAAAAGGTGAAAAAAATGTGAGATTTTAAAAATCACATTAATTATTAATTATCTCTTTTTAATTTAAAAACAAATGTAATTTAAAAGACCTTTCGTTTCGAAAATTTTTGAATTTCCTTTACGATCGAAAAATACGGTTCGAAGAGTCGCCACCAATCTTTGATTAGGGTATGATTGAACACCCAAAAATTCTGTCATTTTTAAATAAAAATTAATTTTAATTAAAACAACAAATTGAGGTCTGCGTTATCAAAATCCGAGTTCGGGAGTCGGTTATGTGTGGGGAAGGATTAGCACCCCCACAACGCCCTAAATCGGTACCTAGTCGATTAATTAACGTCTTTGCAATGAACTTTACAAATTCGAATTTATTTTGATTTTTGATCCCATAAAACAAAGATATAAATTTAAAAACATTCAAAAACACTCAAACAAATTAAATTAAAATTACCAAGTCGTTTTAGAAAGATAAAGAATGTTCGATTATTTACAAATATCGAGACCAGATCTTAAAGATATAACAACCTTTTCTCGATATATT